GTTAAGCGTCTGCCTTCGGCTCAGGTCATGATCTCAGGGTCCTGGGATCGAGTCCCACATCGGGCTCCCTGCTTGGCAGGAAGCCTGCTTCTCCCTCTCCCCCTCCCCCTGCTTGTGTTCCTGCTCTCGCTCTCTCTCTCTCTGTCAAATAAATAAATAAAAATCTTTAAATAAAAAAAAAAAAAGAAATGCAAAGGGCGTAGAAGAGGCAAAACAAATGGGAGGGGGGAAGACAGAGTTGGATGATTTATCCTATCTGATTTCAAGACTGGGGTTAGGATAGACAGATAAACTGACCTGCACGTATTTGGCTGATTTTCAACAAAGGTGCCAAGTCAATGCAATGGCAAATGTATGGTGCTGGAAAAATTCAATAGCCATATACCAAAATATGAACCTCAACTCTTATCTCACACCATATACAAAAATTAACTCAAATGGGCATAGACTCAAATTTAAGAGCTAACACTATAAAACTTCTAGAAGAAAACATAAGAGAAAATCTTAATAACCTTGTGTTGGGATAAGAATTCTTAAATGCAACAAAAAAGGCATGAACTATAAAACACAAAAATGAATAAATTGAATTCCAAAAACATTAAAAACTTTTGCTCTTCCAAAAAGTTATGAAAATGAAACGGCCTACCACAGTCTCAAATTATTATTTTTTTTAGAGAGAACAGCATGCAAGCAGGGGGGTGGGGGGTGGAGCAGAGGAAGAGAGAGAATCTTAAGTAGGCTCCACACCCAGCATAGAGCCCAATGCAGGGCTCTTATCTCACAACTCTGAGATCATGACCTGAGCCAAAATCAAGAGTTGGATGCTTAACCAACTGAGCCACCCAGGTGCCCCTCAAATTAAATATTTCTAAAACATATATCCAAAAAGGGTTGTTTCTAAAGAACTCTTACATTTCAATTAGATAAACAACCCAACTTAAAAATGCGCAAAAAATATGAACAGACACTTGACCTAAATAAGTACATGAAAATATGCTCGACATTATTAGTCATTAAGGAAACTCGAATTAAAGCCACAATGGGGGCACAGGGGTGGCTCAGTTGGTTAAGCGTCTCCCTTAGGCTCAGGTCATGATCAAGCCCTGCGTCACTGAGCCCTGCTCAGTGAGGAGCCTGCTTCTCCCTCTCCCCACTGCCCCTCCTGCTTGTGCTCATGCTCTTTCTCTCCAATAAATAAAATCTTAAAAAAAAAAAAAAAAAGATTCTCTCTCCTTCTGCCACTCCCACCCCCCCCCATAAAAAAGGATTTAAAAGGTTAAATTCATAAAATCGGAATTTTTTAATTTGATTCCTTAAAACCACTGGTAGGCATTTACCATGAAAGAGATGAAGCAAAGTAGAAGTGGGCAATCTCAATCTTTTTATAATCTGCTCACCATTCTGCTCTGCCAGTTTACAGAACTGGGGACTTCCTTCACTAGGAAAAGTGTAATAGGATTTGCCTTCAAATTTGAAATAGCCAAACCACAACATAAGTATCAACTTGAAGTCTACTGACCCTTTGAAACATTAACAGGAACCTGAAATAGAGGTTAAAGTGTTTCTTGAATCCACACCAAATTAGTATCAAGCTCATGAAAATATTTTAAAATTCAAGTGTAAAATTTCTGTTTTAATTTTCTGAGCATTCTTCAATATAGTATAAAACAAGTTATCTACACAATAATGACTTTATGTGTCTATATTCTCAGAGGCATAATGAATCTACTAAATAAAAAAAACAAAATTCATTCAAAACAGGAATTTTGGAATCTAAAGATTAAGTAACTTTGCAAGTTCAGTGTTATGACCACAGATGAAACAAACACACAGTACCTTAGATGTGTGAATTTATGCACTCATCACTAAAAGCTGGCCAGGTGCCATCTTATCATTGATAGAATAGCTTCAAATTCCACTCAGAGCACAACTGCAGTTGTACTGAATCCAGCAGTATAAGCATGCCTGCATGTTATTATAAGGAATCGTGGAAAATTTCACAGGCTGACATCCAGAACGTCTGCGGTTCTTTTTCATATTTCTTTCTTCCTGCAAAGCAGTTATTAGACCAGTAGCTGTTTTATTTTTTTAAGCTGGAAATTTCCACTGTTTTTTTTTTTTAAACTAGCCTTCTTAAATGTAAATTGCAAAATATCCCAAAATTCCAGCATGACAGAAAGAATAATTCAGACAGAAAAGAATTAAAATAGAGATCCTCAAATTATGGTGAGGGGACTGGTAAGCAAACTAAGGTGTCACTCTTTTCAAGGGGAAAAAAAGAGGATCCAGGGAAATACTTAGGTGATTTAAGGTTCCAATAATTCAATATAAATACTAAATGTGATAAATAGCATATTGTGAAGCTGGTATTTTTCTCATTAGCTTGTAGGGGAGGCATTCAAAAGCTAATACAATCAGTAGAATAGTTAAGGCACACAAACCATGAAAAGAGAAGACAGTATACTGTA